AAAAAAAAAAAAAAAAAAAAAAAAAAAAAACGTTTTCAAAAAATTCTGTAAAACAAATATGTTATGGAGATGAAGTAATTAAACAACATTCGCCTGGGCAGTACATCTGAATTCTTTACCAAATTTGAATTAAAAATCATATATTGAAAATAAACAATCTGATAAAATTTCATAAAAATAAGAAAAAATGAAAAGAAAATTACAATGAGTGAGTGTGCTACCACCTTTTCGACACCGCCATCTTTGCCGATTTTTAATTATTTTTTGGCATTGACCAATGCGCTGAAAATTTACAGATAGGTAGTTTACATAATCAAAAACTCGTTAAAATGTTTTCAAAAAATAATAAATTTTTTTAGGCCCCGAACTAAAGTGAAACAAAAAAGTTAAAAGTGAAAAAAAAAACAAAATAGTGAATGGGCAAGCACATTATAACACCCCCATATTTGACAATTTTTAATGTTTTTTTGGCTTAGCATAATGGGTTCAAAATGTATACGCGTGTAGGCTACATCATAGGGAACTCGCAAAACAAAACTCAGAAGAAAAAACTTATTTTTATGCCCCGAAACATTTTTTGGCGGGGGCCGAACCTGAAGGTGTTCGGCCCGCGAACGCGACCCGAACGCCCGAATGTTCGGGGGCCAGTCCGGGTGCCCCCCGAACGTTCGGTCAGATAACCCTGTATATATATATATATCGTCAAATATATTACGTAGCACCTTGTTCAAGTTTGGAGGAGAACGCGAGCAAGCGCCGAAAACCCTCCGAACGTTCGGGGGCCAGCTCGGGGGCTCCCGAATGTTCGGTCAGGTAACCCTGTATATATATATATATATATATCGTCACAAGTAGAACTGCGCGGTAAACCGTAGGCAGAGAGAGAGAAAAGGACAACAAACGAGGGGCTGTGACAAACTGTTTCGCCGGAGTTTCACCGACTCATCACGAGGCTGAACCCTCAACAGTCTGCAGAATCCCCTCACAGATTACACTGTAAATGATAATCTACCTTAACCAAAATCAAAGTAGACTATCACTCAC